TACCCTATATGGCATGATATAATTATGTTAGTGGCAAATCAAATGTAAATAACTTTTAATTTTAAATGGTTTTACCTGTCCTGCATTTTGCTTCACACAAACTTTTTGTTTCTTCTGTTTCTTCACATTTAACTTTTGGGGCCTTCTCTGTGGACAAATGGCCTTGTTGTGATCTATCTCCTTGCATATACTACATCTAATTTTCTTTCCAGCCTTAGAATCCATGTGGGTTCCTGTATTCTTTGTAGTGGATTTCTTCCTCTTAGTAGTTGGCCTACCATGCATCCTTCTACTAATAGGAGGCAATGATGGAGTATAATTTGTCTCTGGCCACATGTCACTGCCATTCATGGGGGCAATTATGTAATTGTATGCCTTCTTAAATGTGGTGGTGCTAAACATGTTGTTTACATAGGCTTCTACATCCCTATTAAGATAGGATATGCTAGCTACAAAATGAGCACATACATATCCATTCAATTGCCACAACCTACATGAACATTTTTTCCTTTCTAAGTCCACCTCATATGCATCTGTTGCTCCCCTTACCTCAAACTGGTTTAATCCAATAGGTAGTACCTGATAATGCCTCTGAATTTTTTTAAGCAAATTCACCTTGTCCCTTATCTCTGGACAAATATGATTTCCCCATTGATGTCCCTTTAATTTCATGTTGTACATTCTGTCCATCATGTATAATGTTAACTCCTCTAACATGGTTATTATGGGCTTCTTCCTGGCATCAACTATTACAACATTAAAAGTTTCAGAGAAGCCATTTTCAACTGCACCACTACACCTTCCAGCTTGAAAGAAAGCTCTTGACCATGTTTTAGGATCTTTCTCCATGAGATATTGATGGGCATCTGGGTTCAATGTCTCAATCTCCTTCATCACAACTTTAAAAGCATGCTCAGTTGTGGATTTAGATGCTCTCCAAAACAAGGTATGATATATGGCACCAGTGAATCTCTTCTGCAAATTCTGGAAAATATGTCTTCCACACTGCCTGTGCTCTACATATGGAAGCAACTCTTTAACAGCCTCTATCAAACCCCGAGTTAATAAAAAGATTTAAATCAGATAGTATAAAATAAATATAAATGAATTACTATGTAAAATACTAACCTTATGTTGGTCTGACATTAAACTGAAGCCATTGCCTAAATTTAAGTTTAGATCATCAATGAGAAGCTCTAAAAACCACTTCCAATTCTGCTTGTTCTCCACACTAACCACCGCCCAAGCATAGGATATATCTTGTCATTTGCATCCCTCCCAATAGCACAAAGCAATTCCCCCTTACAAACACCTTTAAGAAAACATCTATCTAGACCTATTATCCTTCTACACCCTTCAGTCAAACCTTGTGTAACTCCTTGAAAACAAACATAGAACTTGCTAAAATATTTCTTTCCATCTGGACCATCCTCCACATCTAGTTTCACAGTTGACCCAAGATTTCTCCTTAAAATCTCATGACCATATGACCATAGCTTACCATAATGTTCAACAAGGCTACCTTCAACAAAATTCGGTGCATACTTCTTTGCTCTCCTACATTGGGCCATAGTAACTTGGATACCAAACATGGTCATTACCTTTACCCTAAGCTTCCTTACACTCATTTTCTGACTTTGTACAATCTTTTTGGTATAGTGACTCCCAATCCATGCATATGCCACTAATGATCCAAACTTGAAGTTCCTAGCACAATTATGATCAGCTTTTAGTGAAGTGATTTAGAAACTCTCTTCATCACTCATCCAAGAAGCCCACAATCTAAATGTGCAAGCACCCTTGCTACACCTCACCAAAAGTCTTTGCCTATCATTTTTTTCAAAACACAATTGATATCCATTAGCCACAGCATAGTTGCACAACATTGATTTTACTTGCCCTGGACCCTTAAATCTCATTCTTAGAATTGGTTTTTGTTTTTTCCTGTGTAATAGCTCATTAAATATGGAATGAGTTTGGATGTTAGGTTCAACTTCTCTCCCATTATCATCATCTACAATGTTGTTATCCTCCTCCTCATCAACACATAACTTACTCAAGAAAGGATCATTTGATGTCTTATTTATATGCACTGCATCCTCATTAAATTCAAAGGCAACATTCCTAAGTTCATCTATGTTATCTTCATTTTCACCATCAATACAAGACTCGTGTTCATCATCATTATTATCTTCATCATCAAACCACCCATCAACACCAACCCCAATATGATCCACATAAACCGAAATTACACCATCTGTTCCATAAGCATCAAAAATAAAAGCAGAATATTCCACATCATCTAAAATAAGATTAAGCCCTTCCATCAGGGAATTGCCTGGTTCACAGTAGTAAAACTTTTTACACTCTTCATGCATGAAATGTTCGCAGAAGGTCACAAACTCGGAATAAGTCATAGAAGAAAAGTCGACATCAGTGAACATGGTTTTCACACCACCAGTGTAAGAGAAATGATTTCGATTAAATACCCCTTGGTAGTTGAGTTCCACCATCGCAAACACTCCATTAGGTTCCGATTGTGCCATTGCTGCGACTTCTTTGGTTCTTCAGCTCGATCACAAAAATGCTTCACAAACCCTAAATCAGTTTCTTTTACAGCTGAATAATGAAGACGAGTGAAGTTTGATAGCTGAATACAAAAGGCTTTAAGCTTCGCATATCATTTATTGACGTGACATATCTCATGTGGCATCAGATTAGCCAAAAAATATATATTAATTGACATATATAAAATGTCAACCGGGAAACCGTTGAAAAGTATGGAAAATGAGTAAATTAATAGGTCATATACGAGTTTAATGGTCTAATGTACCAAAAAAACTTTAATGACCAAATTAGCCAAATCGAAAAAGTTTCATGTGCTATAGTGACATTATCCCAACTCACGCATCTGATTTATTTTCTTTCTTTTTTTATGGTTTATAACTGACGCACAACACACACACAACACGTTCTTTTCTTTTTCTACTTTCATCCATCGGTATATCATAAACACACATGTAGATTTGTTTCTTGATCTCATACCCTCTTTCATGTAGATTTCTTTCGATTGCACCTCGATAGAAAATGAATTTTCAGGAGGTAGCGATAGATATTGAAGACCCCCTTTAGATGTCATATAGGTTTTCATTGATTTCACTATGTGTATGTATGTATTTTTTCATTTTTGGAAATCAATTTATGTGTGGGTGTTCATCCCATTAATCGATTTGCATTTGCATTGGAGACCTCAACCTTCTCTCTCTCTCTCCCCCACGAGTAGAGGTTTGAACCGACTTATGCTTTTTCCCACCACCTCCGACTGCCACTGCCATTTATCCCTTCTGCCTTTTCTCTGTTTCGTGGTGGATAAAAAAAACCCTAAATCGATTTCATATAGAAACGCAGGGAGAGATCTCGATCAAAAACTAGAAGAATCCGCAAACTATGAGGGATGGAAATTATAATGATGAATATACATATGTTAAGGTTGGATTTGTACTGTGAATTGGAACTATGGTTTTTGAGTTTACCTTTCCGGTGGAGGTACTATGATCCATTATGATCTGACAAGTGGTTAAGGTTGAATTTGTAATGGCTAAATCTGCATCAGAAAACTCAAGATCATATGAAGTTTCTTTTTTTTTTTTTTTTTTTTTTGGGGGGGGGGGGGGAAGGGATGCATGTTAGCTGTGTTTGTGGTTACTGAAATGCTTAACCAAGAAATCAAACCCAATGTAGTCACATACATACATACATACAATCGATTCGTACAGTAGGCATGGAATAGGAGAAAACGGATTTGAGTTTTTTTTTTGAATGGATGGTTGGAGAGAGAGAGAGAGAGAGAGAGAGAGCTCAAATTAATTACTTATTTTTTTTCCTTTAAGTTAAATAGAAAAAACAAAAAAAATCAAAAGGACATTTCCGAACGACCAAAATCAATAAATATGATCAAAATGACCACCGATCCAAAAAAATTAAAATATAGACCAAAACCAAAAAAAAAATACATACAATGTAATAAGTTTTGCATTTTTGTCTATAATTACTTATGGGAAAATGACATAAAAGCCCTTAAGTTTTCACAAAAATGTCGGTTTTACCCTTGGACGTGTTTTATGTCCAGTAAAGCCCGAAGTTTTGTTTAATTTGTTCATTTTTACCCTTGTAGCCGGTTTCCAGGTAACCTACTGGTTACCTAGGTTACCTAATGCCAGTAAAGCCCTTGAATTTTCAAAAATGTTCGGATTTACCTATAAGTTTTTCAAAAATGTTCGGATTTACCCTTACTTTGATTGTTATTATTATTATTATTATTATTATTATTATAATACATTTTTAATTGTATAAAAATATTTTTTACATACATTTTTAAATGAATAAAAAATTTTCATACGTTTTTAATACATTTTTATACATATTATTATTATTATTATTATTTTTAATACATTTTTAAATGTATAAAAATATTTTATACACACATTTTTAAAAATGTATTTATTTGTATTTAGTAGGTATAAGTATAAATATATATTTATTTCATAGAAAAATATATTATATACATATAAATATAAAAATACATATTTATATGGTTTATATTATATAAAAGATATAATTATATGTATTTGTACATATTATCAAGTATAAATATGTATTTATTATCAAACATCATACTAAATAGATAAGCAAAATAAATATTCGTTAATTAAAAACATAACGTAACAATTATAAAACCCTCGTAATTAGAAAACCTCAATAAAAACACTCGATTACAGATAAGATTTAGTATAAAATTTGAAAAAACCTCTAATATTCAACTATATTAGGTTAATAGTGAGTAGAGAACAATAAATGATCAACAAATAACACTCGTAAATGGAAAATACATAATATAATTAAAAAAACTCTTGACAAAAACACTTGATCACTGTAAAAATTAAGTATTATCAACTTAAAATCATTCATTAACTATTTTTATCTCAAAAATTGATAACGAAATGTCAAATACGAGTGTAAACTTCATTTATGTTTGTTGTAAGTTCACAAAAAAAGATCACGAAATGGATCATTTTTTATATTGATCTGAAGCATTTGTTTTTGCAAAATCAGTCATTGACGACATTTTTTACTTTATCAAGCTTTTTCTGTTCGATTCAACAATTATAGATGAAGATTTAGGGTTTTCAAATGTATATAAATACTAAATACAAGTACATATATTTTTAAAAATATATTTATATTAGTAAAAATATTTTTATACATTTAAAAATGTGTGTATAAAATATTTTTATACATTTAAAAATGTATGTATAAAATATTTTTATATAATAATAATAATAATAATAATAATAATAACAACAACAACAATCAATGTAAGGGTAAATCCGAACATTTTTGAAAAACTTAAGGGTAAATCTGAACATTTTTGAAAATTCAAGGGTTTTACTGGCATTAGGTAACCGGTAGGTTACCTGAAAACCGGCTACAAGGGTAAAAATGAACAAATTAAACAAAACATCGGGCTTTACTGGACATAAAACACGTCCAAGGGTAAAACCGATATTTTTGTGAAAACTTAAGGGCTTTTATGTCATTTTCCCATTATTTATCCATCATTTTAAATTAAATAGCATACTTTTAAACCACGTTTCTTTTACCTCATTTTTACCATCCTGCCCTTTAAGGCTTTAACCTAAGCCCCAAAAATTCTAAACCAAAACCCGAGCAACTCTGTTACTGCTTCCAACCTCTCAAGTTTTGCAGGTTTTTTTTTTTTTTTTTTTATTTAAATATTTAATTACTTCTCCTGAGATGCTTCCCTGATGTTTCTTCTTCCCTGGAGAATTGGATTTCTGAAAAGAATTGATTTGGTGTAATTGGTTATACCCGTTCTAAACAGGGGCTGGATAAGGGTTTGTTTGACATCATATTATGTAAACAGGGGATATTAGAAACAAAGATGCTGGAGACCTGGGGTTCGTAAAATTGATTGATTTTAAACAAATCTGGGACAAATTGATCTTCATATCTTGAACGGCATCATGAACTCAAGCGATGAGAAACAAGAATTGGCAGAAATTGAAGAGGAAAAAAATCGTTAGAGTTATGAGGGGACATGATTCTGATCATAGGATACAAAAAGAAAGAAGACAACAAGAGTGGTTTATAACAGGGTGATCGCGGTTCGGTTTGAAAGGTATTTTTCTTAAAATGGTTCGGTTTGAAAGGTATTTTTCTTCTCATGGTTTTAACAAAATATAACTTCTATTTCAGATTTTGCAAACAAACTTAATATTTGTACCGACAACATCAATTGAAATGTATTTTTCTTATGGTTTTATATTGAATTTTTGATGTGATCTTTTAATATTAATTTTTTTGGACAGCAAAAGCTTATGGATTGGATGGCATTTTGGAAGTGGATAGCATTTTGGAAATGAGCTTGCGGATAATGGAAAAATATTTGGTGTTTTGTGTGTATTAGTTAAATGTTTGATGTAGTGGAACGATATTTGTTGTTTTTATTTGCTGTTTTGGATGATTTTTAGGTTGCATGAATCGATACAAATGCTTGATGTAAAAGAACAATGTTTATTGTTTTTATTTACTGCTTTTTATTATTGTTTTGGCAGTTTTTTGGTAGTTTTGACAACTTTAATATTGCAATTTTTTTTAACAATATTGCAGTTTTTTAAGCAATATTTGGCAGATTTTTGTTGACAGTTTTTTTATACTATTTTGACAGCTTCAATAGTGCAGTTTTTTAACAATATTTGGCAGATTTTTTTTGTTGTTGTAACAATATTGAAATTTTTTTTTAACAATCTGTGGTGCACCCACCAATTCAATTTACGTACAGGAGGAAAAAACAACAAAAGGGTCACAATCAGAGGGGGACCACAACCAACCAGCAGGTGGCAACAATCGTGGGTACAGAACAGGGGCAATATGGTCATTAAAGGTTGTCATCACTGAATATAAGGTCTGCAAAATGACCTGGAGGGGATCATGCGAGAATATTAGAAGTTTCTTTCTTTTGGGAGATCATTAGCTTCTCGAATTGCTAATTTTATCCACTTTTCCTCTTATTGCATTGTTCCTGTAGTTTTCAGCTTATATCCCTTTTCATTATTTAAGAAATCAATACAACAGTTATCTTGAGTTCTTTTATACATTGCAAGCTAGTTAATTACAAAGTGGTATCAGAGCACGTTCTTCCTTGGAGTAAGAAATGGTTCCACCAAAGACTGATACGGTGGGGGTTAGAGTGGAGGTGGTTGAAGAATAGATTGAATAAATGAAGGAGACAATGGCAAATTTACAAGATAATCTTAAGGTGCAACTCTCATCTCAGATCTCAGAACAAATGGAAGCACTTACCAAAAGGTTTACCGATATAGCCACAGAAACCATTAAAAATACCATCTCTGAGTCTGGAAGCTTCATCAAAAGAGAAGATGAAACTCCGAAGGGAACTCCGAAGAGCGGTGGTGGGTCCGGTGGTAGCGGGGGTTCAGGAGATAAGTATGGTGGTGGAACAAATTGGCGATTTCGGAAATTAGACCTGCCCCTATTGTGACATCCCCAAATTCACGGCCAGAAAAGACCGGTTTAATTTATGCTTTTAAAATAATTTCAGAGTAATCATTTGATTAAAAGAGTTGCGGAATTTGTTCCCAAAACGAAATATGATAAAATAAGATTTACCAAAGCATTTCTTAAAGAAATGTATTTTCATTATATAACAAAACTCGGGATGTCATGTTCCGATACACACCAAAAACATAAACGGCACATTATAAGCCTTACAACAGTTATATTCACTACAGGCCTATAATCAAAATATTTTGATAAGTCATTCAACTTATGCTCTCGCGCCACTACCTGTATTACAAAGAAAACTGAGTGGGTCAGGCTTGGGAGCCTGGTGAGCATATAGAGTTTTCAACCCATAATAAATAAATTTATTAATTTTATCAAACAACAATAACCCGATTACCTATTCCCGTTATCCTCACTTTACGTCCCTAAAACAACTATCACAAGGGACTTAGTCTAAGGATTTTTATCGGGGTGACAACACTGCTTTGGGGGTTTCCCAGCAATTTATGTCAAATAAGGCAACCATATGGGGGATGGAGTACAACAAATGAACACCCAAGTTCATTAACACCTACAGGTTGCGAGCCTGCCATCGTTGCACTGGACTGTCTAGAAAAGTTCGTGGTCGTCATCCATACTCCGCTAGATGACTGGATCACAATAACATCGAGGCCTCTCATCATTTTAACACACATCAACTATTTCATCTACCCATGTTATACCCAACATATTTGTAGATAAAAATACATATACAGTTTAAATCATTTTAAAACCTGTATAAAATATTCATTCAACACCCAACTCAAATAAACAATCAATATGTATACACATAGCACATATTTTATAGAAAATACTTCATATCTATGTGTAAGATGAAAGTGACTATACACTCACCTTACTCAACCGATGTATATCGTAATTAAGTTTGAGAGTAACTTCTCGATTCCCTTCTTCCAAATATTTTCTATTATTTCTTTCTAAAATATATGTTTGAATGGTAATGCTTAAAACTCACGATCATACTCCTATTTATAATAAGAGTTTTGGATTCATACATTAAATGATCTGTGCAATAATAAAAGCTTAGTTACTCAAAATATTGACACGTATTTTTAAAGACCGACACTAAATAAAAAAATGATACATATATGATTTATGTTGACTCTTGTGTTCTTATCTTAAACAAAACATATATTTTCTTTAATGAACACGTATACCTTTTTTTCTTTGTAAGGTAACACGTCATAACTTCCCATAAATATTAATTATGAATTAATATATATGCATGAATTTACGTTTCTACATATTTTGGTTAATATAAATATCACATGCATGTTTACATGCTTACTTGATGTATATACATAAACGTTTAATAATATATATATATATATATATATATTATATATATATATATATATATATATATATATATATATATTGTCAAAGTCTTAAAAAAATTAGTGATAATAATTATCAAATATCAAATCAATATAATATATGAATCAAACATATTACCAAACATATAATAGATATTATTTTACAACATATCAAATTTTATACTTTATTATTAACGTCGTAAAATATACGTAGACAGTTATTTTCGGGAGTTATATCTCGAAAATATATATAATATGTATTTATTTTTGTTCTTTATATCGACCGGCTAATAGTTACGGTCTCTACCGCTTTCATTTAGATTAGTATTCTAAATGATTTTTTTTAAACTTCTATTTAGCCCTATTTATTAAATTTTAAAAATGAGCTTTTACACAAATATACACATAATTTATAAATAAATCACATTTATATAAACATATATACTCGAATAATTATCTTTCACTTATTCATAAAATGTTACAATCGCTAACCGACGTAAATACATATTTTATAATTACGCCAAGCAGGAAACGCGGGCGTTACAATTATCTCCCCCTTAGGATGATTCCGTCCCCGGAATCATACATCAGCAAACAAATGCGGATAGCGACTCATCATGTCACTCTCCGTTTCCCAGGTGAGATTTGGCCCATTCGTATGTTTCCATCGCACAAGCACTAAATCGACCATCTTGTGTCGCAACTTCTTAGTCTTACGGTCAACGATTGCTTCTGGTTCTTCGATTAACCTCTTGTTTTCATCCAACCTTAACTCAGAAATTGGAATTATGCCGGGAACTTCTCCCGTGAACTTCCTCAAATAACACACGTGGAAAGTGTTATGAATACCTTCTAGTTCTTCTGGTAATTCTAGTTTGTAAGCTTGATTCCCAATCCTCTGAAGAACTTTAAACGGTCCAATAAACCTTGGACTCAACTTTCCCCTTTTGCCAAATCTTATAAGTCCCTTCTACGGTGAGACTTTAAGCAAAACCGAATCTCCAACTTCAAATGTCATCGATTTTCTTTTCTTGTCAGCATAGCTCTTTTGACGATCCTGAGCTGCTAACAACCTTTCCCTAATCACTTTCAGTTTTTCAGCAGTTTTATGAACTATCTCGGGTCCCATAAACTGCTTTTCCCCAGCTTCAAGCCAACATGACGGCGTTCGACACTTTTCTCCATACAAAGCTTGGTAAGGTGCCATCGTGATGCTTGAGTGGAAACTATTATTATAGGAAAATTATACCAAAGGCAAATGTTCATCCCAGTTGCCTAGGAATTCCAGGGTACATGCTTTCAGCATATCTTCAAGTGTTTGTATCGTCCGTTCGCTCTGACCATCAGTATGTGGATGGTAAGTTGTACTCAAACACAACTTTGTACCCAATTCCTCTTGTAGACTTTTCCAAAACCTTGAGGTGAAACGGCTGTCACGATCCGATACAATCGTTAAGGGAACACCATGAAGCCTCACAATTTCCTTCACGTAAGAATTCGCAAGCTTATCCATAGACCATTTCTCATTGGTAGCTATGAAGTGCGCACTCTTAGTGAAACGATCAACGACCACCCAAATCATGTCGTGACCATTCTTTGTTCTGGGCAGTTTAGTGACAAAATCCATAGTGATGTCTTCCCATTTACCCATGGGTACAGGTAAAGGTTCTAAACTCCCATATGGTTTCTGATGTTGTTCCTTCACTCTCGCACATGTCACACACTCGGCCACATACTTTGCAACATCAAGCTTCATCGTCGGCCACCAATAATAGGGTTTTAGGTCCCTATACATTTTAGTGCTGCCGGGATGAATTGAGTACATGGTTTTGTGAGCTTCTTCCATCAGAAGATCTCTTATTCCTCCTGTCTTAGGTACCCAAATCCTATCTTGGAATACCTTTAACCCTTGGTCGTTTGTACCGAACACTAACGTTTTGCCCAAACGTTCTTCTTTTCGGTCATTTTTCTCTGAAGTTTCCTCCTGAGCTTTCTTTATACTTTCCACAATTGTCGAGATAACTTCAATTCTCAATGCTCTTGCCCTTTTCTTTTCAAGGTTTACCTTCCGACTAAGAGCATCAGCAACAACATTTTCTTTACCAGGGTGGTAAAGTATTTCACAGTCGTAGTCCTTGAGTAACTCCAGCCAGCGTCGTTGCCTCATGTTCAATTCTTTCTGATTAAAGAGATATTGAAGACTCTTATGATCAGTGAAAAGTGTGCACTTCGTTCCATAGAGGTAATGTCTCCATATCTTTAGAGCAAATACTATCGCTGCCAACTCCAGATCATGAGTGGGGTAGTTCTTTTCATGCTCTTTCAACTGTCGAGATGCATACGCTATCACCTTTTCTCTTTGGGTCAAAACACAACCCAACCCAACACCAGACGCATCGCTATAGACAGCAAAGTCTTCAACTCCGTCGGGTAGAGAAAGAATCGGTGCTTCACATAATTTCTTCTTTAGCTTCTTGAATGCTTCCTTATGCTTCTCACTCCAAGCATAAGTAGTTCCCTTGTGGGTCAAAGCTGTCAATGGAGCAGCTATCGAAGAAAAGCCTTGGATAAATCTTCGATAATATC